GGTAGGGCCTGGGCGGGGCAAGGGGCGGGGACATGGGCGGAGCCAGGGCCGGGATAGGGCGGGACATCTGGGTACCGCCCCGAGGGGGCGTGGCGCTGTGAGGCCACGCCCACCGCAGCGCCGCGCGGGGCCGGGCTGCCGGGGGGAGGGGGCAAGGGCCCCTCGTGCCGGCCTGTGTGGGTGGGACCGGCCGGTACCGAGGCTGTTTTATTTCTGTTTCCTCGCATTTGTGCTTCCAGTTCTCTCCCCCGCCCCCCCGCTGCTGGGCAGAAGGGGGGCAGTGAGCAACGCCGCTGGTTGGGGCCAAACCACCGCAGCACTAAAGGTGAACCCAGGAATTAAGACACACACAATGGAAAATCGGGGAAGTATTTGTGAGAAAAATCGGGAGTTAAATGCTGATTTATTCTTAAAGAGAAATATATCAACACTTTTTTCTCTGAAGTCCAGAATAAACTCCCTTAATGAAATCTCATCTTCTGTTGTGGCCCCAGGTTTCAGCAGCACTAACCCATAATAGTAACAGTCTTTCACAGATCAGATGATTAATGTATTCAAGCTGTTTTTCCCTGCTGGGCTAGGTACAAAAGTTGCATTACCGAGGGCTGGTTCATGTAACTTACTTATCTGTTCAGTGCAACAGTTGATTATTGCCTATTAGTGTTACTGTGTTACGAGGTGTGACCTCAGGTTTCTGCATATGCAGGCCTCTTGAATTCTCTGATTCACCTCTGCTTGGTGCACAGTGCAGACTTTAGCATTCTACTGCTAGCTGTGCATGGCTCCTCGTTAAAAGCCTGGACACCCTGCCCTGCAAGTGGTTCTCTACTGAAGAGGAACAGAAAATAAATTGTCTCAGAAAAGCTAGTAATCCATAGATGAGTATGTATCCTCCATGTAGACACTATTCTGTAGTTCTGCTAGAAAACCTATTCAGAACTGAGGCCATGTAAAGGCTGGTGAAATATTTACAGATATTTAGTATTTGGCCTCCGGACATACTTTCATCGAACATTTCCAAATTTGATAAACTACAGCATATTGCCTTGAAAACAAATTCCCACCAAACCAGGCTGCTAGCTGCAGCCAGGCAGAACTTTTTTAACAAACAACTTTGTGCAGGTGTAGTCATCTTGGCAAGCCTGTAATTTGAAGCTTGGATTACAGAATCATAGAATGTGCTGAGTTGGAAGGGACCCATGAGGATCGAGTCCAACTCCTGTGCCTCTTGGGCACCCAAGAATCACCCCATGTGTCTGAGAGCATCATCTACATGCTTCTTGAACTCAGGCAGGCTTGGTGCTGTGACCAGCTGTTCCGGGGCACTTGCTCCAGTGCTCAACCATCCTCTGAGGGAAAAAACTTTTCCTGATACTCAGCCTAAACCTCTCCTGATTCAGCTTCCTGCCATTTCCCTGAAAACTATCACTGGTCACAGAAGTGAAGAGGACCTGCCCCATCTCTTCCTCTGGTTAGGAACCACAGACTGCAATGAGGTCACCCCTCAGCCTACTCTTCTCCAGGCTGAATAATCCAAGTAACCTCTGCTGCTCCTCATAAATCATCCCATTCAGACCCCTCACCCTCCTCGAGGCTCTCCTTCGGACATTTCCAATAGCTTCATGTCCTTTTTATATTGTGGTGCCCCAAATTGCAGGCAGTGCTCCAGGTGAGGCCACACCAGAGCAGACAGGGAGAATCACCTCCTTGACCGGCTGGCAATGCTCTGCTTCATGTGCCCCAGGACACAGGTGGCCCTCCTGGTGCCAGGACACACTGCAGCTTATCTCCAGTTTGCCAACAACCAGGACCCCCAGGTCCCTCTTCACCCACTGCTCTCCAGCCACTCGTTCCTGTGTCTGCATTGACCATCAGGGCTGTCCCGTCCCAGGGGCAGAATCTGGCACTTGCCCTTGTTAAACTCCATGTTGTTGGTGACTGCCCATCTCTCCAACCTGTCCAGGTCTCTCTGCAGGGCCTGCCTGCCCTCCAGGGAGTCGACAGCTCCTCTCAGGTTTGCATTATCAGCAAACTTGCTTAGAATTCCTTCGAGTCCTGCCTCCAAGTCCTTGATGAAGATGTTGAAGAGGACTGGGCCTAGTATGGAGCCCTGCAGGACCCCACTAGTGACTGGTCACCAGCCTGATGTTCCCCCAGTCATGGTCACTCTTTGTGCTCCACCTGTGAGCCAGTTGCTCACCCATCGTATGGTTGGCTTGCCCAGCTGTGTGCTGGATGTTTTGTCCAGGAGGTTATGGGGAGAGATGAGTAGACAGGTACCAAATATCTGTGGTTTTAAAACAGTTTTCCTTTCTGCTCTGAGTGTGGGCAACACTCAAAACATTTCTGCTTGGGGTCAGGGCCTTGGAGGGCATGGAGAGGGATAGAAATGGTGAGGGTTGCTGGTGTGTACAGGTTTTGTGGAGCAGCTGCCAGCATGGGAGCTGCTGGCAGGGTCTTGGTTCTGAGCTGGTGGCACCAAGCAGGGTTGTGAAGATCTCGGCTGGCCTTGACTGGGACAGGAACCAGGCAGGACTTGAACTGGGACAGGACTGGGCTGGCAGTGCCACACCAGGGAACACCAGTGGGCAGCAGCTCGCTTCAGCAGGAGACCCAGAGAGTTTGCTAGAAGTAGAAAGTCCCCCTCAAACATGCTGCTCTGCGCTCCAGATGAAGGCCACACTGGGACAGAGCAGCACAAAGGGCTGGATCCAGGACCATGCTGTTGCCTTTTGTAAATCCCACCATGCTCCAGGGGCTGCAGGCCCACAGGCACATAGGGCTGTGGGCTGCTCAGAGTACAATCTGTAAGAAACAAGACACTACTTACAAGCAGATTGGGTAGTGGAGGAAACACTTTTTTTTCATGGTTGGTTACAGTGAGTGAAGGACTACATCACTCTCAAACTAGGCTGGAAGAGAAGTGTTTAAAAAAAAGCAGACACTTTGTATGGGGAAATTTTCTTTGTTTTTAATTTACAGCAGAAAGAATATAAAGCATTCAGAAAACATTTTCCATATTTTAAGGGCAATTCAAAACATTTTGCATGGTTCCAGCAGCTGAGTTCTTCAACAGATCCATTGATTCAGTGATGCTTTACATGCACGGTTACAAAAATAAAACTTACAAAAGAGAAGACATCTATACTAGTTTTACATGCAAGTCTTGGGGACCCCCCAGTGGGCACCAGCTATTGTGTGGAACTGCCATAAGCGTGCAACCAGAGAGGGGGTTCATGTTATATTCTGTATTTCTTTCACACAGTATTACTGCTGTCGAATGTGTTTCACAAAGGAGCAATTCCATTATCAGAAGACAGAAGACCTGGCTCCTGGAACTTGGGAATTTGAATTTTCCCGGAAAGCTGCACTTACTTATCTTCCATGAAAATGTAAGTTCCACAACCAAGAGAAGGGTGAACAGAATCACTTCACTGCGGGGGGGTCGTTCTGACTCCCCACGGATACACTGAAGGGTTATGGCCCGACACAACAAAGCACTGGGAAGCTGTACCAGCCCTCAAGCATGCAAGCAGTTCTGCTGCGCCCTGGAACTGCTTGCATGTTTAACAGCAAGTACAAGCTTAAACATTTGGCTGAAGCAGGATCTAGATTAGTAGATACACCACCAGGCCCATGGATCTGGAAGAGTAATTTGAAATAGCTCTGTATATTACTGAATCATTTTCTGTAAAGACAGGGAGTTAAAACATTTCCACTGAGGTCACTACTCTTGTTAGGAAAAGGTCGATTCTATATTGTCACGTATTGGTTAATGGGAGCAACATTTCTGTTTCAAAATGTCAAAGAGTTTTTCCAGTATTAATACAGAGCATTTCCAATTCATTCCTAGGGAGATTCTTCGGCTTCTCCTGTTCTGTTTTTGCTTGAGAGGAAAATTTAATGGTTGAAGTCCCAATTTCATACAGTAAATGGAGGCTGTGAGGCTGCTCACGGGCACAGTGTGAGCACCAGGCCATTTGTTTTTCTTTTTTTCCCTTTTTTTTTTTTTTTTTAATTGAATCAGGTCATAAAGCAGCAGTTCAGAAATGTACAAGAGAATTCTGATAATGAGCTATAGCACATCTACTATAATTCAATGCTGGCAGTGAAAAGAAGTAATTAAAAACAGGTACAATTATAGAAAAGGCACCAAGAGCACTGACCCCAGTTGTTTTTTTTTGCCACAATCTTTGTTTTTACTCTTCTTTTAAAGACACCAGTTTAAAAGCTTCTTATGTGTGAATATTTTTAGGCTTCACAACAAGCCTTGCGTTTAAACATTGCAGTTGGTGGCCGGGATCAAGCAAGAACAACTATTCCAAAACTAACAATCTCAAATTTACACCAGTCCATTAAGAAGTTTTAAACTGTCACGAACAAAACAAACACACAGGAGCAGTTTCTGATCTCAGACACACGTACACAACCCACAGTAACGACATGGACTTTAGGAGTTTCTTCCCTTACATTCCTGTGTAATAAAGATCAGAACCTGGTTCCCATTTTTGAGAATTTGTGACAGTTTTAAATTAGTAGTTCAATTTAAAAAAATCTCATTTCTTTGGCTCCTCACTATGTGGAAATAGCAATATACCATGACACCCCTACAAGATCAGTTTGCATCCTTTTTTAAGTCTTACTTAATTTTTTAATTTTTTTTTGTGCAATTTTTATGACATTTTCTGACTTCCAGCAGGAGATATGAAAATGTGAAACATATTTTTCTACTTTCATACTATTTCTTTTTTTTTTTCATTTTATGTTCATTCTAAGTGTTCTTTATTGGAGTGAGTGTATGGTGTTAAGCTAGATACATTTTTTGTACTCTTATGATTATCTGCTTTGCAAAATTAACTTAATTTTCTTAAGCAATATTAGCATTCACATTACTTGGCACCATTGGCAAAAAAAAAAAAAAAAAAAAAAAACAAAAAAAAAAGACGGGAAAAAAAAAAAGAAGGAAGGAATAAATAAATTAAATCCAACCAAACCAAACTCCTGGTAGCCAAAATCAAATGTAAACATATCCTTTTTTTTATTTTTTTTTTTTTTTTTAAAGTAATGTTGCTCTGCCTTTTTTTTTTCCTAAGTCTAAATACAGTAGCTCTTTTTTGCCATTTAGTCATGCTTTAGCAAAAATGTTCTTCTAAAGAACATTTAAAATAAAGTTTCTTATAGTGAAATAAAGTTTTTGTTTCATTTTACAGACCATAGCCACTAATGCTTTGCTTTGTTCATTTCTTTTTCGAGTTCATGCACATATCTCTTTGTTTTAATATATACAATATGTACAAACAATACATCCACACTCTTCTCGTTCATTCAGACAAAACTATACAAATAATAATTTTATCTTGCCAAGTTATTGACCCTTTGTGAATAAAATATTTAGTAATTAATCAATATATTCCCTTTCAAATATTTTTTCTCATTTTCCATGTCTACCTTCTATATATACAGAAACTGCCCAGATTTTGATGAAGTAGCCAAAATAAGAAATTTACTGGCCAGAATGCAGCACCACTCTGATCTTTAGGTGGTATAAAACGTCCAGGCAACATATGTATGTGACTCTGCAAAATGACAAGTGGTTTGACAAGTACTTAAAATAAAAAGCTACATGTTTTACAAATTATTTTAAGAAGTTAATTAAAATAATAGTACATGAAAGAAAGGCTAGAAAATAAAGTGCTGAATATGAGAGAAAGTACATGACAATTGATATGTTTGCAGGTTCTAGTAAAAATACCAAAAAAACTTTTTAAAACTTGCTCCAGCTGCTCTCTCCGTTCCTCGTGCATTACCCGTTTATCTCACACCAACCCCTCTTGTAAGTTCCCACGGGATGTATTAAAAACCTGCAGATTTAAAAAGTTGCATTAAGTGTGCTGTAGAGGTTTAAATAAAACACAACGGACAGAAGTGCGAAGGAAATGAGGATGCATGGACCCCATAAAGATGTACTGATCTAAGCCCCTCCACTGAGACTCTCAAAGCTTCAGTTTCTTGGAGATGACTGACAGGTGCAGGAACAGCATTCCTGTGTTGCTTGTGCATTCCCACCTTTTCTTAACAATATTTTTTGGTATAATATTTGTACAGTTCCACATGTTGTTTAGTACAGCCCTATATGAAAAGGATAATTAATCGCTCCTTCCTTCTTGGAGAATGAAGCAACTCACAATTTCCTCCTGGTGTCTTTTGTTTTCCCCACGATCCAACAGAAGATTGAGTTCCAAGATGTCTTGCCGAACAAATTAAAAGTTGTCCATGAAAGTGCAAATGCAATGACCAAAACATTACTGTTAAAATACTGCAGCTGGTATTTCCAGAACTGCAGTGGGTATTTTTGTTGTTGTTGTTGCATGTCTCTGCTAAAAACAGAAAATGGAAACAGTCTGAAAAGCAATGTCACATTGCTACGGGATGCTGCTGCGTATCTTCAAGTTCCTTGGCCTTTCTCAATTCTTTCACTCTGAAAAAACAAAGAGGAGCTATATAACACTTCTATTGCAAATCTCTTTCAAGACAGCAAACTGAAAATGACTTCTTGCTCTAACCTCCCGTGTGAAAGAGCCAGCTTGCAGAGCAATGACAGGAGGGTAACACGTTCCTGACACCATAAACAGTTGGAAGCGCAAGAACGAGCCACTGGAAATCTGAGACAAACATTTGCAAAAACAGATTTATGTCCAGCTACTGGTTTTTCCTGATATTTGCCACTACAGCTGGACTTCATTCTGGTACTCTCCTATTTAATTGCTTGGGTACTTTTTTTTGACTGCTGCTCATTAACTGATTCTGCAGCTGCCTGCTACTCCAGCTGTTATGGCAACCTTGACCCCTTCTCTTTGTTCATCGCTGAAGCAGCAACGCTTTCCTGTGGTGCCCACATAGCACAGGAAAACAGGGCAGCTCTGTGCTGATACAGAATCTCACCTAAGAAAGCATTTATATGCAAGTAGGAAGAACTTGTTTGGGTGTGAAGATAGATAATTTATTTCACACTTACTCCAGCTGCTAGCAGCTATTTTCCCTAGCACGTTGCTGGTAGTAGACTTGTGGTTTTTTTCCCAGTCAGCAGTGGAGGACACTGTGTGCCAAGAAAGATGAAGCTTCAAAGTGGAAAGAGTCACTCTCATTGGATGTGGCCTGATGTTTCAGTTCTCAACTCTTTAAAGTGCATGCAATACATTACCTCCTCTAGTACTTGTTAGTGCAAGAACTCAATAATCACTGAAAGCTGAAATAAGTAAAAATTAAAGGATGAAGATAAAGGAATAATTTAAATTCCATCAAGTAAAGCAGAATTCTGCATTGATGCTGGAGTAGCAGCCATCCTCCGCTCAGGCTGACAAACCAGCTGCACGTCAGTGCTCCCTGCAAAAAAGCCAAAACAAATCCACAGGGACCCCTTGTGCTGCCCCCAAACTTGAAGACAGCTGAGTCTGCAGCAGCTGGGTTCTGCCTCCTTTGCAGAGGGCTCCTTTCTGCGACACCATCCCTTTGCCACCTGCCTCCACATGTCCTTCCTCCACTGAGGACCATCCCAAAAGCCCAAATTAAGGTGATTTAGCAGAGCACATACATGCCCAACTGACGTTGCAAAAACTTGAAAGAATAAAAAATGAAGGTATGGTTCAAAGAACTGCGTTAGAGCTGCAAGTTGATGTAACAGAATCCAGCTGAGAATTATTAAATTTAATAAAGCCTAAGTGAATATAGACAGTAGAAGACATTGGGAAAGTTCATCAGCAGCAATGCCAGTTTGTAGCTTTTGTACAAAGACATAGACTCACATATCCTCTTTTGGCTCTTGCCTCAGCCTGCTAATATAAGGATATAGGGAAGGCTTATAAACTGACCTCTATAAATACACCTCCATTTCACTTTTGTTTTTTTCTGCACATACTATTACTCCAATTCACTGTCAAAAGGGAGCTGGATGCCTTTAAGTAACTGTTTTAGCTGACTCAAAGCTTTAGCACTTGGTGTTCTTTGTGAAACTGGGGGAAACAGGAGACAACAAATTAATCACACTAACGAATATGCAGGTCAGACCTTTGGTTATTACCTTAATTCCACTGAACTGTTTGAGAATGTCACATACAGAAAGACAGAGGACTCTGCTAGTGCAAATGCACAAGCTATTTTGGAGCCTGACAACATAAATCCAGGGGGCCATGGCACTCCTCCGAACCCCGTGTCCAGCAAGGGGCGCCTGGATACAGCTCCCCCCCGAGAAGTGCTCTGATCCCTGGGCAAGGCAGCAAGCAGCACCACTGGTTCCAAAGTTCCACCTGGGTAGTGCTGTGCTGAGCCTCAATGCCTGCTACACCTTTATAGAGAAATTTTCTATGGAGAAATTGTGGCTCTAGGGAAGCTGGTGTCTAAAGGATCCTGTTGGCATTGGGGGGTTTCTGCATCGCACAGTAGCTGCAGCAGCAAGCCTCTAGTCCAGGTCACTTTGTCATCATAGGAAACAGGTGGAAATTCTTCAGTGCAAGGTCAGTGAGACACTGGAACAGGCTGCCTAGAGATGTTGTGGGGGCTCCATCCCTAGAGGTGTTCAAGGACAGGTTGAATGGGGCTCTGAGCAGCCTGTTCTAGTGGGAGGTGTCCTTGCCCATGCAGGGGAGTTGGAACTCGATGATCTTTAAGGTCCATTCCAACTCCAAACATTCTGTGATTCTGTGAAACACAGGAAGACCGGTACAGTAAACTGAGAATGCTCATGGATTACAGCTGACCATCTTCAGCATATCTCGTCTTTCCTCTTTTCTTGCAGCAGAAAAACAACCTCTCCCATGAAACTCCTACTAATACTTCTATTACTGCACTGCTTAAGAGCAGAAGGTGAACCAAGATCACTCCTTGCTAGAAAACTCTGCTTTGCCTCTGTGCACTAGGTAATTTTTAAGGCTTAGATTGTGTCCAAGAAACCATCTATTAAGCATGATTTGCAGTGCAACTTCCAAGTGTTTTCTGTTGCACTTCAGTACTGTAATGTAAAATTAATCTGTTATTGTAGATCTCTTACTAAGAACATGCATATTAGATAAGCTGGTGGCTCTTTTGCTGAAACATGCTACACCTTAGTTTAGCACTTCAACATGCAAAGACTACACTACTGAAGCACTTTTGCTGGAAAAATGCAAGACATGCTTTGCTGCATACTTCAACCTACAGCATGCAATATCTGTACTGGTGCAGACATATTGAATCTGTTTAACTGCAGCACACATGCCAATGGAAGTTAAATACTAAAGCACTTAACATTTGCACTAGTACAGATCCTATTCAGAAATATGCAACACTTTTCCTTGGCCAAGTTTACTTTACACTGGCTTACAGATTTTCAGGCTTATAAAAATGTTGCAAGTGCAATGATAATTACTACTTAAAACCACAAGAACATACTAGTACAGAACTTCTCTACAGCAAAATTACAGATTTGGAAATTTGTCATGGGCACTTTACTGAAAGTTGTTGTTAAGTATGTAAAGCTGACTTAAAACAAACTCTGCATTCCACAGCATTTACAAACTTAAGAATCAACTTAAGACGATGACCATCCAAATTTAGTAAACTACCACATTTTTAGATTCAACCTTTGCGTTCAGTACACGTAACTCTGCATGTGCTGCACTAAAAATGGGAGAGCAGGTGGGTGCTACAAGTTGTCTACTAGTATAGTACACTGCCTGGGAGGTATGAAGACCTGCAGTCTGTGGCTCAGAAGAGCTGGCACTGAGAGGCCCAGGAAGTCTCCCCTCTCCTGGCCACAGGCTTGAGGCTGCACTGCTCAGCTGCAGGATCTGCAGCGTAGCACAGCCAGAGTGGAACTGAAGGACCTCCAAATGCTACCAGGAACTGAGCAAATCCAAGGACAGACCAACACTTGGGAAGCACTGAAGTGCTGTTGGGAATGCCCTGCTTCTCCTCCAACCAGGGCTAACCATCAAGTCCCAGAATCATCAAGCTTGATACCAGAGCAAGTTAACCCACCTTTTTATAATTTTAAATAACTGTTCTTTCAAAAAGCCTCTGTATTGCTTTATCAAGAGAACCTAAAACTAACTGCTTTGAACTAACTAATTATTTATTGGATAGTCTGTACTGCAGCCTTTCCTGGGTCTTAGAAGTCCTTTTAGTCTGCATTTAACTCTTATTTTTGACTAAGTTTCTTACTTGGTGGTACTTTGATTTGATTTTGTTATAACAATATAAAATGTCAACATAAGTGTGCAGCTAGTGTTTCCTCTCATTAATGCTGGGTGGAACAATCCCTCTAAATTTTCATATGCAGTTTGACCAGGGAAGAATTTTGGACAAATTAGGACCCTTGAAAGTAGAAATCCACTGCGTGATGCTAGGAGAGGTTTTACGTGAATATAGCATTGCCTTAATGCTAGAAGGCAATCCTCTTTGCTTCATACTTTTCTACTCAAACTCAGGCAGGGGAAGAGGGCTCAAGTGGGCATGTGCAGTGACAAGCATTAATAAACTGCTCTAAGAAGAACAACACTACTGGAATTTACAGAATGGTGCATCAGAAGGGATGTTCTTAGAGAAGATGTTTCAATCCAGTTTGGTAGACTTACAGTGAGACTTTTTTGTTTTTCCAATAACTGAAAAAATGAGAGCGCTATGAGCAAGTCACACCAGCAGGCCACGTGCTGATGGATGGTGTGCAACCCTCCCCAGAGGTCTACAGGCACTAGTATCCTGGTTTAGATTACTTCTGGAAGTGTATCCAGCTGCAAGGAGGCTGGAGGTGAGGACAGGTCAAGTGATGCATGGGCAGCCAGAGTGCACCAGGAAGGGTAACAAGCTCTGGCTGTTGCAAGACTCCAAACAAGAAGTACCATCCTACTTCAGCCACTACTGAAACCATGCACAGGCTTGCAAGAACCATACATTTGGTTTTACACCGATGAACCCTTCAACAAAAACCTCCTCAAATAACATTTTTGCTAGACACAAGGCACCTCCAAGGTACAAAGTCATTCCCCTAGCAATTGCTGAAGAGCAGGTGGAAGGAAAAAGCACGTGCAGTGGAGATGACCACTGATAAGGTGTCTGATTTCCCAGCTGTGCTGCTGATGCACAGAAAGGGAAAAGAAGATGATTTCAACTGCGAGCTTTGAACTCTGACACTCGGGAGCTATGTCCCAGTTCTCAGACTGCTCCAGCCAGACAAAGCTTCTGCCCTTTGAACTCTTAACTGGACACCACACAGGATGTTGCATCATCACGTGCTGAAGCAATGTGGAAAGCAACAGCCCCAGAAGCAGCAGCAGCTCCTGTCCCCATGTGCCCTCCCCAGTTGTGTATGGGATTGTCAGCAAATGAATCACACCTACCTAGAAAAAGTTACAGCAATGATGGCTTCATGGGTAAAGCATAACACAAAGCTGCTTCATCAGATTTACTCCATAATGCCCAGCCAGGGAAATGTTTAATGAATCTGAATGCTGAAGATCAGTATAAAGGATGGTGCAGGAGCCAGAGAAGGCTGCCTGGCAAGTTACCTGTTGCTCTGAGAGCTGAAATGGCCTGTGGGACTTTTAAGAAAAGGGAACTCTTGCCTTTTTCCAGATATCTCATTTGGGCAGCAAAACAAAAAAGACAGAAAGGCCCAATAAGAATGACACCCCAGAGCACGCGGTCTGCGATTTAACACACTCATTTGAGCTCCAAATACCTTCAGCCCCTGCAAGAGGTAAATGAAAAAAAAATAAAAATTACTTTGAAAAACTTTTGTTGCAGGTATGGTGATGCACATCCCAATATGACATTCTCTCATTGTCTTGAACTTGAACAAATGGGTCTTTTCAAGCCTCAAAATTTTCCCCCCTTGTCAATCTTGCTATGAGACATAAGAAACCAGGTACTTAAATGTAATGGCTGCTGCATAGCACATATTAAAAACAGAAAAAATTGAAGTCCTAGGTGCACAGGAGTAGGAAAGGGTTTGCTACTGAAATGTCAAGAGAGGGAAGGGTATGCAAAGAACAACAAAATATAGTAGATGTTGATTATTCAGGTATGAAATAAAGTTGTACTTACCAGAGGAACTGACTTCAGGTATTACATGCACGCTCCGCAAAGCAGAGAGCAGCATTTAGTCAAGCCATAAGAAATGGGGTAGGGGCAAGGGGATCTATTTCAAAATGAAGGATGCTGTGAATGAATACGTTATTACTCATAATCACAGATAACAAGTGCACGTGCTCTGCCCCAGAGAGGCAGAAGTTTCACCACAGACAGAGACCAATCAGCCTGCCAGTGGTGTGAGAAGATTTAGTCCTTGAGGTCTGCTCCAGACCCCCTGCCAGCCCAGCAGGGCTGGGGGGCTCACAATCCCAGCAGCCATGGGGTTTTGTTCATGTCCTACACCTGGACCTCGAGCAACGCTCTCCTTCGCAGGAGGCTGCCGCAGATGACTTAACTGATGAGCAGGGAAACATCTGAGAAGTAGGCACCATGCTTAGCTGGAATCTGTCCCCTGGAATGGGTTTCCCTGACATGAAAACTATTACTTAAAGGCAATAATAACTGGATTTATTTTTTTTTCCTAGAAAATATTTTAAGTTCTACCACAGAAAGACAGCAAGTTTTGTCTCTCATAAGCTGGTCCATAAAATCTCCACCTCTCCCTCTTTACCAATCCTGGTGTCATGTAACCCAAATAAATCCATATAAATTAGCAAAATCAATTTGAAAAGGGGTTTTAAAACTGAAACATGGAGGCAAATGCTACAGTCGTTTATCTGCACAGGCAGACTGCTCAAGCATGATGTCAGTGCACAGAATCCATCAAATCTGTGTATTCGGGTACATGTTTGCTTGCATTCCTGCAGCATATATGGATGTGTCAGCTTGTGCACATCTGAAGGGCCAGAAATACTGTTCTGATGTGCATGCATGCCAGCAGTGTATCCACCTAGGTTGTTATCAAAATGCAAAGCAGCAAAGAATCATTTGCTGTAATAGACTTATTTTGGCAGAACAGCAGCTAATACATTTTGTGATAGTTCACAGCTTCTTTCTTCCAGATAAGCAGAGAACTCCCCGATTTCCTGATCAATCCCACATCATTTGCCATTCAAGGCATAACCTGCAAATGCTCCCAAACTTCCAGAATCTGCTTCTGGCTAATGTCTCATACACTGTTTCACACAAAGCTTGAAAGCACAACTACTTCTCCTCCAATCCTGACGATCAGCCTGTCAACTGCACCTAGAGCAGAATCCCCACCAGCACCTGCAGAGTGTGGCCTCAGGAGTGGCTTCCCCAGCTCTGCTCCAGTCCATGGTGCTGTGCACTGACTGTGGGCCTGGACCCTGCACTTGCTCCTCATTACAGTCCCCTCTACGAGTGCACTGACCATGCCACACAGACAAGTTCTAGTGCATCCTGAGACTGCAGTAGGCATCTGCTCTCTAAGGAAGGAATCCTAGCCCTCAACGGAGAGGCACCGTAGCACAATTGCTTTATTCTTCTATGTTCAAGTAATACATTACACATTCTTTTCCATTTTGAATCCAACTAGCCCACTTTAGTGTGCACACTTTAAGTTTAAATTATTTTTCCTATTCACAGAAGAAAGGTCTTAAAACATAACTCCTCCTGCCTAGCATGCAGTGCTACTCAAGGAGACTGCAGCACAGCTCACAGCCTGCAGAACCAGGGCTGTCCTGTGAGCAGCTGCAGGTCTGGACACTGCCTGCTGGGGAGGGAAGGTGAGCTCCACAGCCAACCTCAGCCACCTCTGCTCTGCAGCCCGTTGCTCGAGTGGCTGCTAAACAAAATGTCATCATTTGTCTGCAGCACCCATTACTGTCCCATGGTTATGGTAACTGATCTCAAGATTACAGATGGATAAACTTGCTAATATTTTTTCATATGGAAGTAGACACTTATGTCCTTACAACAGAGGAAGGTCGACTCATCTAATCAGAATGACCTTTTTTTCAAATTACTTGCAGTGAATTATATTTTTCAGAAACAAATTATATTTTTTCTTCAAGAGGCTTTCGAAACCAAACACCCAACCGCAGATCAAAAACTACCAGCCTGAGTTATACACAAAGCATCAAATTAGTAAAAACATGTCATCCAGACCAATAATGTGAGAATAAAAGCTATTTTTATACAGTTCTTGAAATAACCTTCTTCAGTTGTAAAGCACATTATCATGTGTGCCACGGTCTGGAGCTATAGTTTTCCAGATAACAACTTCCCAGTCCTGGTCTCTGCAATCAGGAGTAATGATCTTCCTCCATCATGGCAAGATCCATGAAAGCAGCACTTAAACAGTTAAAGCACATCTGGGTCTTTGTCCTAATTTCACCTAGTTCTTCCTTCATTTGTCATTAGTAAAGAACCCAAATAGTTACTTGTAAAAAACTGAGGATATGAAACAGAAAATGGTAGCACAAAAGTCTTAGTTTGGCAAGAAATGCCATTAGCTGTTGCTTCTTTGTTAGGCTCAATAATTAAAAAAATAATTATGCCTCTAGCAGGTGTTAAGCATGATTCAGACTCTCAGTCCTAAGTTATAATAATTATTTCTGCAATTCAAAGACAGTAAAACTCCAGTTATCAACAATCCAGGTTTATTTTCTGAACACTATGTGGAATCAGGACTCCAGGTGATCCCGTTCTCTGCCTCTTCCTTTCCCTTGTCGAAGGGAGCAGTAATAAGCACACAAACGGTGTTATTTCCAACTGCAGCTTTTGACAAAAACTCTGCTGTCCCAGCCTCTCAAATGCAAGATGGTACTGAGCCATCCCGCTGCCCACTCGAGCAAGTGTCTGAAAGCCACAACAGCCCCTGCTCGCACAGGGACTGTGCCCTGCCACTGCAACGTTTTTCCACCTCGCTGTTGGGCAGCAAATCAGCCTGCAGCTGCAGCTGAGCACAAAGGTGAGTGGACTTTCTTCACACCAAGAATGAGACTCCTGACAGAAGTTCACGTGGCACTTCTAAAACACAACTATCGCATCTGCATTTAATTTCAGGTTTTCTGTTTTCCTTCCCACTACATACATTAAACAGCTGAGAGAAGCATTTTGTCAAAAAGCTGGTCCTAGTAAGCTAACAAGGCACATAACTTACCGAAGATCAACTTCTAGAAGATGACCATTCATGTTTAACCACCTTAGGGAATAAAAAACAATGCAAAGAGCTCTTCTGCTTCTCTCTGGCTGAGGCAGAAACATACTCATCTAAAGTAGGCTGCATCTGTGCTGCCAGCTTCCTACGATCTAGCCTGAACACTGCCACAGTCCCATGACACAGGACATTGTTACTTATTGTGTGTGAGAGCAGACCCCGTTGAGTTTCAGAATCTACTAAGAGACATTTTGGATACTGAAAAAATACCCCACCAACAATGCCGCCTAAGCATGCCCATGATGAAGATACATGTCCTTTTTCACACAGTCATGCATTGGTAACATCTACTGCAGAGCTCTGTCCTCTTACAAAAGCAGCAGTTAGTCATTGCAGTAGGGTTAGTTTATAAAGGATTCTGTTTTATATAATTAATGGAGGTGAAACTTACTGGCGCATCTCGGCTGCAGCCCCATGCAAGCAAGCAGAAAGCAAAAAAATTTAAAATGGAAGAGAGGAACTGGCTAGCAGGCAGCTACACTCACCCTTTTGTACAGCCTATGGTCCACCAGTGGGCTTCAGATTGCAAAACAATACCAAACAGCTATTAGCACACACATGGCAATCACCATACCTTACCTAGAGCTTCAGGGAGGAGGAGACAACACTTCTGCTTGCCTGGAGAGAAAGAACCCTTCCCACTCCGGCCTACTGGACTCCTCCTCTTTACCAGGGAAGAGAAGTCCCATGTGTAGGTGTTTTAGGGCAGGAAGTAATAAGCAAGTAAAATAAACCATCTACTGTCATCCTGGTGGCTTTTCTAGCTGCACCCTGCCTTCCCTCACAGCAATTGTCTTTTATCTCTCATTCCAAATGCTACTCCACAAACACCACTGCAGATCATAACCACGGCCTAGCAATGGAGTAGATACTTCTTAGAAGAGTAAAATCATCCCAAGAATTGGATAAAGAATAGGAAATAGGTTACCTTACCAGTGAAAGCCGACTGCATATACGGAAACAACTCAGCAAACCCAAACCCACTTCAGAGCTCTCAGATTTCCTTGCAGCTCTAGGTGTGTCTTATCTGGAGATCACTAAGTAGGTGGAGTCTTCCCAAAAACATTAAATATGCCAAGCCTTGGCTCTGCCTCACACAGGACACAGCGTAACAAGAGACAGCCAGCTCACAGAAGGTGTAGTGGCAAGTTTTAGAATGAAAGTCAAGTGCACTGGACACCACGGAAGAGGGGAGAAGCTCTCCTGGGAGGCCAGGAAGTTTCTGTTTCTCATTCTCAACAAATAATACTTCAGTGACAACTCATGTTGATACCATGTTATGGCTGATGCATGTTTTTCACCAGATTTTTGAGAATATGACAGTCAATGGATACATATTACTTTTTTCCAAAGTCAAAAGGAAACAATACATGCCTGACCGTCAGAATGACTGCTGATGAACGACCACTTTTGTCTCCATGACACCTGATAATATTCAGCTACTAGAGCTCAAATACCTTCTCTAAGATCATAGTTGACCAAAACTTATATTTCTTCTCAGATTTTCATCAATATCTACATATCCATTACTGAGAGAGCTCCAACTGCGAAACCTCTCTCATTAACTCTCTCAAAACATCTGAAACACTGTTGGAAACAATCTTAAGTTCAAGAGATCAGAAAACACAAGATCAACATGGCTGTGCACCTTGGATCCTCAAGCTGACAGGAATCATGTTTGCACTACTGAGTCCCTGTGCCAAAATGCTAATAAACAAAATAAGACAACAAAGACCACTGAAGCTGTTCTAAAAGCTAGCAGAGAAAGAGTTATCATACTTTGCTTGAAGTAGACTTTGATCAATTTAAAAATAGGAAAAAATCAACCTCCATGGTTGCCAGGGGAAAGCCAGATTAAATCTTGCCTCAAGACTACAGAATTAGCTCTTAATAACAATAATTTATTGGCCCAGCAACAGAATCTGCTTGTGCACAAAACCCTAAACAGTTTCATTTTTTTTAAGGTTGAATTTCTGAACTTAAGGAATTTACTGCCTTTTCACTTAGCTCACAATCATTACAAGACTGCAAGTGGCTTTTACAGCCTCCTCCCCCACCTCTATCAGTTGACAGAAATCTGCTACAAGATCCTGTTTCTTTGATGTTCCTGTGCATGCTCTCTTTTCTCTCTCTCAGATTTTCCAAAAATATCTGTCATTTCCATTCCTTGTACTGACAAGGCACTGTGGTTTAGCAAGTGGCTCCCCACTGCCATTTTTATGCTACAGAGCATTAATTAATATTCAATGTTAGTTGCTGTGGCTTGACCCTAGATGTTGAGGAGCTTGGATGGCTGAAATACTTCTTCATGGTGCCTGCTGCAATGGGATTCCAACAAGCAGAGCCCCTGAATCAGTGTGTGGGGCTGTTAGCCCAAGTACTGGTCGCAGTCTCAGCTCTACCCTGTGTGAGCATCACACAGGATGCACAGTAGACTGAAATGAGATAAATAAGAGCTATATATTGAGGTGGTTTTAAACTTCACCTAACCACCTAAGTTTAATTACTCTGTCCTTAAAAACAGGTAAGCAGAAAGTCAAGCAGTGAGGAATAAATAAAATTGTTAAGACATAGAAAAATCAGAGAGATTGAAGAGCAGATGAGAAGGAAGCAGATCCCTCCCCTTCCACCTGCTACCCCTGTGTACATGCATCACGGGCCGGGCAGCTCAGGCAGGGGCTGCGGAGCCAAGCGTGGAGGGAATGGCTGCGGGAGGTCACGTCAGGACACGCTGCACTGGGGGAAGCACATGGACCCCCCAGCATGGGGGCCAGGGAGCAATGGGTCAGTCTGAGTCAGGTGAGATGCTGAAGCAAGGGAAGCTCCATTTTAATAAGTAGATCTGTATAATTTCAAGTATTATTATTTTCCTTTGCAGTAGTTTATGTGGAAGTGAAAGACTTAAATCTGTTTGTCTTCCAAATCCTGTGTGATAATAAAGAATCTGCTTTGTGTGCTGCTCTTCACTGAGCACAACCAAGCACAGGGAGCAGATCTACCCAGCAGGGTCCTGCCCGGGAGACACTGCTGCTGTGAGATCCCAGGATCACAGATGTAGCAGATAGTGCACAGAGCACAAAGTGTTCTGGAAAACTTCTCTCTTCCCATCTGCTTGCTAGAGCTTTTTTGGCAAGCAGGAGGCGTGTGTGGAAAGAGGCCCAAACTTGTCACATTTTTGTAGGCTGGTAAAGTCATGTCTTTTCCAAGCAGATTCTAAATGCTGGTTTTGTCGTTTTGGTAAGTTTAGCTTTTATTTTTAGTATTTGCCAATGCCAGAATGCTTCTGGATAAATTTTATGTTAATTATTAATATTAGTTACACAAACACAGTTTTAAACCCTTATGGTTGCTTGGAGGATGTACCTGACCACAGATATGTGATCATTTTTATTTCAGAAGGAAAAGGCAGTTTTGGAACAGAGTTAACATCTTCAGTGGAAATAAGTTATTTTTTTTCTTTCATTGCAACCTAGCCAAGAACCATGCAAATTCCCAAGTAATCACAACTAAAAACAAAGTGCCTATGGACACAGACAGGACTGCACTGTGGCAGAAATTAAAGCACTGCACAGTGTGACACAAGCCAGAGAACCTACTGACACCAGATCCCCTGCTGCTTTTTCTTTGCTGTCTATAATCACCCAAGACCTAAACCCATCTCCCAGAGATGCAAGGCAGCAGGGACCACGCTGCAATAGAGAGAGGAGACTGGCTACAGCCAAAGGGAAGGGACTTGCCTGCAAACTTCAGTGATGGAAACAAGTAGAGTTTCACTTTACAAAGGAAACAGGAGATGCTGAGAACAGGGAAGGCCATGAGCTGAAGGCAAGAAAAAGTGCTGGATTCATGGGCAATTTAAATTCTGGGTAGGTTAGGTTACTTGACAGCTGGAGACTTAACTGAGCACGGCTGAAGCATGTGGCCCATCCTGGACATCAGTGGGAAACCCAGTGATGTAGCTGATGGTGAGGGATCCTCTGGGCTTGTGTGTAAGGGTTGGCTGCAAGAGCCTCTGGCAGGTTGATTCCAGAGCCTCCATGAATGGAAATGAGCACTTTTCTTCCCCAGGGACTGCCTGGATCTCAAGCAGATTTGAGAGGATAAAGAAGTTCTGAGCCTGTGCCCAACAAACACAAGAAAACAAACCTTTTGATGTCTTCCCCATGCCCTGCTGAAAGCAAGAAGCCACTTGTGCTTCTTCATGAACAACTGTGGCTGTTTAAAAGTGAATTTGGGATTGGTCTGGACACTATAAAGCCCTCTTTCTTGTCCACACGTTACTTCCCACTTAATCTGCAGACAAGATATCCTTCCACAACACAAGCCACACCAACCTCCTGCAAACTGCAGCTCTGAAATCCTACAAAATGGACTGAGTACGTCTGTACAATCAAGTTTTTGAGATGTCTCCCTGCCTCTCAGAATTCTCCTTGTTCAAACATCACTGGGCTAAACTAGAGATGCTTCAGAAGGCATCAGGTCTGATCATTTCCTGAGTGGATGAAATGCACGTGTGGTGAGAATGGAAGGAGCAGAGTCAGAAACATCTGAATTCACTTTTATCTCGGCAAAGTTCCAGTTTGCAACCTGACCATATATGTCATCCTTTCCTTGTAAAATCAAAATAAATGCCCTGCATGTAGCAGAGCCCTGGTATGGCAGTGCCAGGTGACCCAGGTGAGTGCTTCAGCAATCCTGCGTAGGTTCCCAGACCTGCAGGAGATGATTCAGCTTTGTGTCTGTACTGCCAGCTTTCTGAGGTGTGTGTGGAGTGGCTAATGGGAACTAACTTGTCTGCTGCTCTGTTGATACATTCCCTCTATCCACATTAAAAAGAACCAGTATTTGATGACAGTATACCAAATAATTCTATGACCAAACTGAAGGCATTTCCAGTGTACACCAGATGCTGTTATATTTTGCACTTTCCCACATAACATAAATGCTTGTGCAGCATTTACAAGCTGTAGCAATGATTCAATAAACTTTTTAAGTCATGTGCCTTAGTTTGCTCTAAGTTTCCTTATGCTGTGTGTGCCAAACACAACCTGGACTGCTTTACTACATCAGCAATGGAACTGAACATGATTACCTTTGAGCAACAATGCTAAGCTAGAAGTTTCATTTTTGTCAGTGTATTTTGGAAGCAGCAGGACTTTGTTATTTGATTAAAATATATGTAGTGAGCTGATTCTATTATCCTTTACATTGCACACATTGCAGACACACTAGAATACTGTTGGTTGCTCTAGTGAGGGGCAGGGATCAGAAGGCAGTGTCATACCTGTGGCGGCAGCGTCGTAAAAACCGCATAATCTTGCGAGCAGCTTGATCCTGCTTCTTGGTAAGCAGACTGCTTCTAAACACAAAAAACACAACACTGAAATGTAGGCAAAACCAGGAAGAACAATACTAAAAGCAAAAACAGTCATCCTATCAACCACTGCCCTTTTCCCACCGGCCTTTTTAAATTACAGCACAGGCCCAATGAGTGTAAAAACAATACATAAAGATTCTGGTAGCATCCAACACCCCGAAAACTCACCTGAGTTTCTGCTGTACAATGGTGGCTGCCCGGCGGTTTTGCCTCCTCTTCCCACACTCTTTGTAGCTGCGATAGTACTGCTGGATCAGCATTGCAGCTCGTCGGCTCTGCTGGAATTTCTTCTGCTCATAATAACTTCGGAATTTGCTCTGGATAAGAATGGCAGCTTGCGTCATCTTTTTATAAAGTGCATACTACAAGAGAAACAAAAAAGAACCTGAGACATTCCAACAAAACCAGCAGGTTCCTACGGTGAAAGACTTACATGCCACTAAGACACACAATGCGAAATAGATGAGTGTCTACTTGCTGACTGGGAGCTGCATGAGAAAAGGGTGGCAGCCAAATGGAGCTACTTGAGGTCACGTGCAGAACCTCCTCTGCATCAAGGAGACTACACTTAGAGTCACTGTTTGTTTCCATTGCACACAGGTACCTCATTACAAAGCACAGGATGCTCATTTCTATGCAATAATTGATTGTAAAGACTCATCACAACAGCAAAATATGCCCAATAAGTGACTATAAGGATAAAGCAGCATGAATTACTTCCAAAATGCTAACAAATTAACTAAAATAAAAATATGCTCTTTCGTATCTTCTTTCAAAAATATCTTAAAAAAAATATTTTAAAAACCAAATTTGCTGTTCAGCATATTCCACTTTCCTAAGACAATTAACTTTTAAACAGATCATTCGTTGTTTCCATGCTATGACACAATACTACAGAAGTTTTGAAGCATTTAAAATAGAATAACATACAATTGTAATTAAAAAAACCCCACAAAACCAAACCCCGAAACCACAGCAGTTAATTAAGCAAGTCTAACATTGAGCCTGTCTTAGACAAAACTAAATTTCATTTGAATTCTGTAACAAGCATCCACTGAACTTTCGAATTTGCATGAGCAGTCACACACATGCAAAATTCCCTCTAGCACTGAACTATTCCTAGCCCCAAATAAAGCAGGCACAAAGAAAATCTGTATTCTACATCCTTTTTAAAGCACACGAGTAAGTGGCTGTTTAACAGAAAGCATATGCATTCATGCATATATTTAAGAGTCCTTTTTAAGACAGAGATGTAGAATAATGTATAGAAGTTGCACGCATACCTCCGAACTAACACTGCAACAGGGGTTTTCAGTGATCTTAATCTGAAAGTTTTAACACATTCAAAACTTATGTGTCTATTTTTCCTGGATATTTTATCAACTATGACTTCTGCTTGCTTTCTCAGGCAGACGAGACACACAAATAGCAGCCACTGCTCTGTACAGAGTAACGTCCTAACACATACCAATGAAGTTTTCCTGTCTATTGGGAAGAAAACCCAAAAAGAAACACACATTCCCATCTGCAACATCACCCCAAAGCAAAAAACCCTCCAATACCATCACAGACCACCATTTACCAAATTTCACTTTTTGGAATTGAAGCAGTCATTAGGTACAGTTATATTTTGCCATTATTCTTTTTTTTTTTTTTTTCCTTTTAAAATTTTGATATGAAATGGATCATATTCTGGTTTTAAATTATCTATTTTAAGTAAGTCCACTCACAGGCTGGCCATGGCTTTTTCTTTCCCATTTTTAGCCCAGATGGGACTTCTGTGGCTGAGTTACAAACCCCTGAACAGAAGGTTCCAAACACAAGTTGGTGAGGTGAGCTCTGACTGCTCATACCCGGCTGCACACCTGTGCTGAGCCCAGCAGTACAGTCACAACAGAGGAACAAGATGTGTGGATGAGAAAACACCAGTCACTGGACAGACTAGACCCCCAATATGTTTGCATTCAACTCCTAAGACCCACTAAGCTGACAAGCTGCTCCCTCTCCTCCTCTTTTTCCCTCCATCTGGAAGGAGACAAGCGGAGCAGTCACCTAACTCACAGGTGGTCAGACCCAGCTGGTACAGCAGCCCCAGAGAGCTGGGCTCACTTGTGTTGACAGAACTTTGACTGGTACAAAACCATGGCACATTCCCCTGGGGACATGCCCTCTTCATGCCTTGTCTCACAGGTAGCTCTGAGGGAAGCTCAGCTGATTCTAGTACCTGATGAGAGCAAGAGGTTGCATAGCTGGGAAATTAATCTTTAAAATAGGAAATTATTGGCAATCATGCCTCCAGTACAAGCAGCAACACACAGGAGATGGTGGTCTTGGGAATTTAGGGCACAGGTATTTCAGAGATGAATGTTCAAAAGCAGAACGCAGAGGACACTGGCTGTATGGATAGGATAAATGTTCCCTTGTGCCCCCTGCATGCCAGGCAAAGATCACCAAGTGATGGCTAATCAGCAGCAACAAAGGAAAGCTTGTCCTCCAGAAAGTGGCTTCAAAACCTTTTCCACAACTCAGCCTGTCACTGCTTATACGAGTACCTGTAGAAGCAGGAGATCAGCTCGTGCTAGTGTACTACTGCGTCGACACGCTGCAGCGTGGCAGCCCCTACCTATCTCCCAAAAGGTTTGTCACTGATTTCTCAACCACAGGTATTTATTAGTGGATACTATTAAATAATTTCTCTAAATGCCAGGCTCTCCAGGTTTATATTGAATGTGAAAGTTAGTGACTCATGGGGGATTGTTTCCAAAAATAGTGTTTGCATTCGTATTACCTTCAAGGCTATCCAAGTAAGCTTAGGGAGAAACAGAAAAATACATAGTTAATGTTAGTTCTGCAAATAAAGAAGGAAAAAAAACCCAACAAACCATCTTCTTTCAAAAAAAGTGATTCCAGGATCCAAGACAAAGCAGTTTTTGAAAGGAATTAACCTTTCCTATCATTAACCCTTCCTATCACAGGAAGTGTAACTCCAGAATGACAGCCACATGACAGGTCAAATGTGAATCATGATGCTGTCACCTAACACTAGAAAGGCTTCCCAAACAAATGTTTTTGAAGGTTATAAAAGAGCACAGGAATCTTGCCTTTCACTTTGTCACTGGCTGCCAGGCATCAGGCAGCTTGAGTCTACCAGGGTACAGTGAAAAGAGGAACATGGGTGCTAGGGCCCAGAAAAAACAAATCAGAACATAAAAACCACAAAAAACCCCAAACAAACAAAAAACAAACCACACAAAAAAGCAAAAAACCCCAAAACCCAAGAACCAGAAAGGAGAAAGAAAAATTATCTTCTTTTTCTGGGGTTGAGAAACTCAGCCTAAAAACATGTCTCCGACTAGAATCTGGAGAACACTCTCAGTCCTGGAACAACTTGCATCAAGCTAAAACATGTGACTTCCCAAAGTTTAGTATGTGCAAAATAAAACAATGTATTTTTCACCTTTGCCTTTACCAAAGGCAAAACCAACTTCAATTTCATAATGAAATTTGGCAAGCAACTAGTCAGAGAATAGTCTCACCATTCTATAGCATTCATAAAGGCCAATATGGAACACATCATTGCTATCTCTCTCATAGCAAAAATGCAGGTTATAATCACAAACAAAATCTTTTCAAGGACTCCCTCAAAAACTAAGATTCAGGACATGAATTTTCTTCCCTTTTCAGTTTTGCCTGAGCAGGGTATTTCATTACTGCATGCTGAAAATCATACAAAAGGAACAGTGGGATAATTCCCATTACAAAAGGCTGGGTTCATGGCACTTAGGCACTTCATAAGATTTCATTTCCTCCATTACCTGTTTGTATTTTCGGTAGCAACGCTGAATAACTGCAGCAGCAACCTCTTGCTGTTCCCGGAGAGGACGACCCTATGTGGGGAAGGAAAGGAACAATAAGTATACAGAGAGCCCCAAAAAACAGGACAGATGAGGTTAAGTGTCTTACAGCAGCTCACAGGATACTGACTTCTAAATTTCTCCCATCAGCGCCACCCACCCTGATTCAGGTCGAGGCATTTCCTGGAGATATCTCTACTGTCAATTAATGTAAGGGACAAACCATCAAAACTGATCTTGACACCAAGCAGGCAACTAACCAGAACCTCTGGGGTGTATTTTGAGGATATGCTTTGTGAGTTCTGTTCCAGCACAGAATACATGCTATGGCATGCTCTCTCCAGTACAGTAGTTGCTGGGTAAACATCAACAAGTAAACACTAGAAGCGTTTAAAAGTTATGACAGAAGCAGTATTTTTGTCCCAGGAGTGGGTATTACCCACAGTTTGTTTTGCAACAAATTATTCTCTTTCAGTTCTAACAGAAAGGCATTGGACATTTTGGCCACTTACCTTATATTTCCTGAACACTGTCTGGACGAGTTTGGCAGCTTCATAGAGTTCTCTCTGCTCATGATCAGACAGAGTTAACTGTGCAAACTCATTTTCTACCTTCTCGCTGGTGGATGCACTCAGAAATTCAGACCAGTCTGCTGCCGAGGGAAGGCTGGGTTTCTCAAAAGCTATTTCGCTGATAGGTGAGCCTGCAGGGCTCAAGCTGGTGTTCGAAGAAGGGGTCAAGGGTTCACTATACAGACTTCTGAAATATCAATGACAGTAGGAATTATTGGCTCACTAAGCACCTGAGCTGGCACAGACAAGGACTACATGTCTCAGTTCAAGGCAGAAGCCCCTATACTCCCCTCCCCACCTCCAACCAACACCCACATTCCTGAGCCTGCGATTACTTGGCTCTGGGAGAGAAGTCACAAGTCAGACCTTGTGGCCACTTTCTCCTCCTGCTGCATGCACTCCCACCCTTCCATGAACCTGTAGCTGTGCTGGCAATGACACGTTTGACCACGAGAGTGTGGCTGGGCTTAGAACACCAGCACTGAGCCGCACTGGGAAAGAGTATCTGCAGGCTAAAGAACCAGTGCCTGCTGCCCAGCATTGAGACCACTCCAAAACCCACCACAACTTCACAACTCTTACTCACCTTATCTGTGCAGCACTGGGCAGATGATCGACATCAGCAAGGTAACTGGCCAGCCAGCTCATTGTGGTGCTCATGGCAGCACCGTCCGTTCTCTCCACCAGTGGTGACTCCATTGGCACAAAATTCTCCCGCTTGATCCTGTCAGGCGTAGCTTCAATAATGTGCTCTGCAAGTGTCATCATGTTCACCTGGGAAGGGGAAGAGGAGAGCAAACTTTTGCTGCCTGGTAGCAGTAGCCCTGTGCTTGCAAGTTATAGCCCCATTTTCCCCAAACTTGAGGTAGCCAGAGTCTACTTCAGCTTTGTCTCAGCATTGGAGAGAAAGTCATTAACCAAAGCTCATTTGCTTGTGTCTCTTCTGACAAAGAACTGCATGGTTTCATGTTCCCCAGACCTCTTTCTCTCTGAGTGCATGGGGAGCCCAAATGATCTACTGAAAGGTGTCATTGGACCTTTGCTCTTCACAGTGACAGCTGTCACTGCTATCTTGTTTCCAAAGGAACAGCGATCTTTCCGATCTTTGATGGAGATGTGCAGTAGAGTTTGACAGGACAATAAAGGCACATCAAGAGAAGTTAAAAACCCTTGGGACCACAGCTTTTTCAGGAATTCTTCTGAAACATATCTCCCCCGCCCACCAAGCTCCACAGGAATTTTTAATAGAGAGAACAGAAAACAGTTTTTGTTTTGCAAAGATCTGCTTCACCCATCTTCTGCCAGCAAGATGAGAACATTGAGATGCCAAGGCAGTGCTCCTGTTACTATTTGAGCTCAGATGACCAACACACTATCTGTCCCACCATTACTACCTCTCATTCGTCTTTCCTACTTCTGTTTCAGTTTTATTTCCCCTATTCCATACCTGGTGGGGTTCTTCCTTCCTCAAACCCAATCTCTCCCCTTTTTCACTCTTATCTCCCTGCCTTTGAAGTGCAGCTGCTTGGCCTGCAACCACAACACTGCCTCTTTCACATCACTTTGTCTTCCTAGGGACTGTTTCCCAGTTCCCAAAGGACTATGAAGCCACCTTGGTCTCCTGTACTGACAGGACCAGGAGACTACATTTTCCTTTTTCCTTGCAAAAACTGCAAACACCCTTCTGCACTCAGTACACTGTTGAAGCCTATACCAGTGCATGACCCTATATGCTAAACATCAGCTTTTGTCTCTGGCTTGAGAGAATTCCCTTTGATACCCCAAAAAAGTATATACGGACCATCTGACCACCTCTTTTCACAAAGCACAATTCAGAATCTCCAAAGGAGGTTTCTCATACTTAGGCTCCTCTCTGCAGCCACCATGTCCTCTAAGACTGCTGATCTTGATGCTACAGGTATGATTACCTGCAAGTCATCCATGTGGTGTAAGCAGTCCTCATCCCCTGCATTGTCCCTATAGGACAAGAGCTCTGCATCCACCATCTCCCTGTCAGCCATCATCAGCACGTTCATCTGCTCCCGCTGGTGTAGTCGATGGGCCACAGTGTCCTTTCCCAGTGCAGCCCCCTTCGGGCTCCCCGGCACCTGCACTGCAGACACACCAATATAAATGTCTTTTGGGCTCCATTTTACGCCTGCTTGGCTGCCAGAGCCCCGGTATCCAGTAACTTCTGGGATGTGCTGGGAGAGCTCCCGGCCATAGTCCCTTATCCCTTCACTGGTGCTGATTGTCTCAGTGGTGGATTGTTTGGAGCTGGAGTTCTGCTTCCTGATGCTCGGCTGTTCCAGGCTCAGCGCAGTGGAAAGCAGCTTCTCCTGCCGGGCTTGAAAATATTCAGGGCTCAGCTTATGTTTTTTGGGTGCAGGGTAATCTTTCTGAGTTTCACTACTGTAGTAACTGGAAGGTTCTGATCTTGGTCGTCTCAGCTCTGGAAACAAAGAGATCACTGGTCAAAACAAAGGATGAAACTTTGTGATCAAACAGCAGCTTCTGCTGCAGAGCTGCAGGTGGAAGTTTGTGCTGTGCTCCAGGACACCTGACAATATGTGCAAAGGGAGTAATTATCACCCAGGGAGGATACCACCCAACCACTCTTAAGATACACACGTTTTTCTAAAGCAGAAATCCACTCCTTACTCATCCTTATGCAAATGCACAGAGCACTCAAGAGATGCAGAGAGACCACAAGAAAAGAATTAAGCATCAACAGCAGGGTTACAGGTAGCATCTGCCACCCAGGTGAGCTCCTTGCCCCCTGTTTTTCACATGTCAAATGTCAGCAAAGCAGGGCATGCCTTCAGGGTTGTTTTACCTGTGTTTGTGCTGGAAATCACAGTGACTCCCTTCTGAGGCTCCTGAGAGGCAATAAGCTCACTGTGCCACTGTGACACCCAGTTCTCTGTGTTGGAGTCTGTGCTTGAGGGGCACTGAACCCTGGGGTTTTGCCCAAGTTGAGTTTGCTCATCTCGCTGCAGCTGCTCCAAGCACTCTGCCAACTTCACGTGGCCGCGAGACCGGGCGATGGCCAGTGGCAGCCTCCCAAGGGAGTCAGGAATAGAGATGGCTCGGCGGTCCCACTTGTACAGCACAACAGCTGCATCCATGTGGCCCAGGGCACAGGCCCACATCTGAAAAGGAAAAGACAACTGACCCTTTGGGCAACCTGCCTTCTCCTTCCCTTCCTGCTGGTCCCCGACGCATAGAAAAACAACTCTGATAAGCAAGATCACAACATGCCTGAACCCCAGCAACAAGCCTTTGTAAGTGTCCTATTCCCACAAAAGGCCATTACAGAGGATTAAGTGCATGCTATTCTCTCCTAAGACAGAGAAACCTTAATCTACCAAATGAAGCTGACAGTTTGACATTTTCTTGTTTACTAATAAAAGGGTTTTGGCTTTTTTTTTTTTTGACACTGGCATCACTGCAGAGACAGAACAGTCTCATACACAAAGGAATCTGAGATCAGAAACACCCAGTGTCCTGGTTTGAATCAGAACACCCAGAGAGTACTAAAGGTTGGTAACAATAAAATCAACAGTCTGCTATTGTAAACTGGCACTTATGGTTTCACCTGCTTTGTCTTTTTGCATCAGTTCTCCATCATGATTTTGTGATTCCAATGACCAAGATCCTGTAATGACTTTATAACCTCTGCAGTCAAAGAGAACAACTTGAAAGAAGGCATGTAAAGTCATTTTCCCACCATGACAGCAGAGACTAGATTTTGGGTAAAACACAAGCCAGAACCACCTGTCTGTCCCCTTTCTTCATGTTACTTAATAACAAGGTTTTTTCTCTCTGGTCTCTAACAAAATGCCAGGATGCTGATAGGGCTGTTTCCTACCATTTACACAGCAAGACAACTTTCCTCTTCAGAGCCTGAAATGCATTAGGAAATTGACACATCAGGAAGAACTCCAGAGGGTCCTCAGACTCTCAGACGTTTCAGTCTCTGCTCTTACCAGAGGAGTGCAAGAGAAATGATCCACATTCAAAGGGTCAACTTCCAGCTCCAGATCAATGCTGTCTGCATGTTTGGTGCTGCAGAGGAAACAACAGAACCAGTGATGTGCTGTAGCCATGTTAGGATCATTGCCTAAATGCATAGCTTTACCTAGGGCACTGTACCACCAGGAAGTGGCCACACATATGCCTGTGATACACGCTTTTACTACAGATGGTGCTGCCACCAGAGATTTAAAGAGCATAACACACCCCGTGATTGGACTAGCTCTCTCAAGAGACAGGTCCCATCAGATCAGGGGACAGGAATGAGTTCAGGGACTTGGCTGTTTGTAAGGGACAAACAGAAACCTGGACCAAGGAGAGATTACATGTGCTTCTGTCATGCGTGTGTTGGGTCTTACCGCCATTTGATGAGGGTCTGGATCAGTGTAGCATAGCCCTGGGCAGCGGCTAGGTGCAGCAGTGTCATTCCTCGGAAAGTCTTGGAATGGATCAAGTGTTTAGACTTTGCCCAGCAAGCACGACTCATCATCTTCTCACACACCACCACCACGCGGCTCTCAAAGCAGCTGCCCAGCGTTCCAGTCCCAGAAACGCACTGAAACACCACACACATCCCAGTTTATCCACTGAGGGGAGCTGCCACCTGCCCTGAGCAGGCAGCCTCCCACTTCTAGAAGTACTGAGACTGCGGCACATGTGAGCGAAAGCCAACTGCAGCTAAAGACACCCACAAACCAGAATTCCTGTTTAAGAAACGCTATAAACCTTTCCACCCCCCCAACCCCCCTACTCAAACTCTGATAAGAAAGCACAAAGCTGCTGTGTCTGGGGACACAGTGAGATTCATACCTGCACCTGCGTTCCTCCGTTCCCATTCCCATTGCTCCCACCTCCTACTCCTTGTTTGTGCTGCTGGGAGCCTGTCATTTCAGCCATTCTCCTCTCCATCTGCTCAAGTCGCTCCAATATTGACATCCTGAATTGGTTATCTAGGTTGGAGAGAGCCAGAATAAGAATATTTCCATGGAAAGAAAGCTCAGGTTTTAGCAGCCTACTGCAGAGTTGCTCTGTTTAGCAGTGCAAAGGGACACTTGCCCTGCACATCGTAGCCCCTTTATCTGCAATTCCAGAGAACTTCCTTAAAGAAAAACAGACAGAAAAATGAAAAATGCAGGCAGACTGACTGATTTTCTTGTGATTCTAGCTGTATCCATGCAATAAAGGACTGGTGTAATGCAACTTCTTTCAAAACACAGGTAAACCCTAAGCAAATGCAACCATTCAGAGAGCATTTCAGTAGGATCATACCTGTCAAAACACTCTCCATTTTAAAGTCAATCCCCTACTCTAAATGAGTCTTGAACTCAGCCTAGCTTGCCTCCTAAAACTATGTAATAATGGTACCTGGAGGAAAAAGACTGTTTCCTTTTGTGCTTAGAAAAAAGAGCCTTTAAAAAGGCATTTGCTCCTTCTCTGACAGGCTCCTTTTCTTGGAAAACAGCTTGAGCCAAGTGCCAGAAACAGAACTACCAGTAATCACAGAGCACAGGCACTGATAAACCAATGACATCATTCTGAAAAGCAGTACAACTCTTGAGTCTACTGGTCTCTGCAGAAGCCCAAAGCCTGTATTAGTTATTTTCTCCTCCTTGCATTGTAACCTACCACTGTGATACAGCCACTAATGATGCTTCAACAGCAGAGCAGGGAGATTCAGACAGGGCACTGCTAAAGCTGATGCTCAAGCAATCTTTTTGTGTTTGGAGCCAGTCAGTGCAGATCGAGTGGCTGCAAACACAGCAGGCTCCTTCTCACTTATGACCCATAAGGAAGAAAGCTTCAAGCAGCTCATGTGAAGTTGGGCAGGATAATTTTGTGGACAGGGAACATTTAATGAATCTTGCTATCGTTCTAACTGTATATAATAGGGGGTTGCTATGGTGGTGCAGAACACTGATAACCCCAGAACAAAGCCCACTGACAGTAACAGGAATGTGTGCATCAAAATGAACAAGCTCTCATCACATTTTCAAAGAGAAAGTATTCTCCAATTGACTTGATTACATGCAGAGTCCTCCCTGGAAGGCTGCAGGAGTACCTGTGTCCTGTTCTTTGCAAGGTACAACTCTCACTGGAGGGTATTGGAGAGATGCAGACCTATCCCTACTGTACTGCCCTGGAGCCCATATTGCAGCTCATGGGTAAGAGACACTCAGATCCACGGGAGACATGCCCCTCTCCCTAAGAGGCTGCCATGGCTTGATTGTAGACAAGAGCTCTCTGCTCCCTCCTGGCCAGCTCCAACGGGTTGTAAAATGCAGCGTCCTGCCCTGCAATGCAGTGTGTGTCCCTGCCGTGCAGTGTCCCACCCCGCGCTGCAGCGTGTGCTGAGCTGGCTGCTCGAGAGCCAGGCAGGGACAGAGCAGCGTCACCGGCACCTTCCCTCCAACCTCATCTCAGAGGCGAGCCCACTGCTGCCTTTTCTCACCCAGTCAAAACCACTACCCCTTATTATTAGTGCCTTATTAATAATAAAGCAGTCCTGTCAATTGCAAAGCCTCTGGGAAAGTGGCTGGTAGGCAGCCGTGGCCTCGGGCCCCGCTCTGCCCGGGCCAGCGCCCGGCAGCCGGGC